ATGACTTTTTTTCTTGAATAGATCCTGTCCCCGTATGCCAGGAGTCTGAGGCTTTAAACTAAGAATCACATTTGCCTCAGATTTACATGAATTCTAAATATCGGAATGTCTTTTCACTGAAATTGGATCACTTGAAAGCCCTTTGCTTTTGTGTGTGCCTATAATGCCCATTTTCTCTGCTGATTGTTTTGATTAGCTTTCAGAAACATGATAAAAGTAACTTTCTGTATAATGCATAACCACCTCCATTGAAGGATTGTGTTTTCTATTTTGTTGCAAGTAAGGTTTGTTCTACACTGGGTGACTAGGTTTACTAATTCTATACCTACTAGGCCTCTAACATCTGGAGCGTCTTTTGTGCACTTCAACAGTTCTTGTTTGCTCTAGGTCAGAACATTGAGTGAAATAGTGCCGCTGTCATTCTAATAGTCCAAGTGCAGGCTAGTCAGAATTTATTGCTTCATTCTTCAGATTTTTTCACATCTGCTATTTCCCATGTAGCTATTCACCCAGGACAAAGTATCTTGACATCTCAATTGCAGTGACACTTTAAATTGTTGATCTCCTTTTGGGAAGACTTGTTCCTAACTACTTAAATACATTTTATTAGAGCCTTTTTCTCATTACTGCATTATCAGAGCTACTTGTCCAAACTGGGAAACACTTCCATTTAGATAGTCCTGCATCTTTTTCTCACTCAATTGTCACTACTAAGACATTTTCGATTAAATTATATTTTTGGAATGCAACACATCTTTCATGTTGTTAAATGATGTTGCACTAGGCAGTCATTTTAGATGACTCGAGCAGTCAATTTTGTTGTATTTCACAGCTGAGATTTTTTAAGACCTTGACTCTTAAGAACCTGGGTGTTCCTAATATTTAGGGATCTTCCCTTCAAATTTACAGCTACCTCCTTAAGTAATGTAATTCATGACCTCTTATGATAAATTCAAAGCACACAGTTTGTCAAGAATAAAATATTGCTACAGTTGTGTATCAAGCTGGTATCCAAGTTTTGCCTTTCTTCCGTTTCAGGAGGTGTAGAAAGTATATTCCTTTTCTTTGTGAGTGTAAAAGATTTTTTTGAATACAGCTGAAGTTCCTCGCAGTATTTGCTGAAGAGAAAAAAGTGTCAGAACAAGTTGTATTTACAATATATTTTGAAATGTGGCATCATAGGATTTCTTCTATAAAAATAGAGGCCCTCATCAGACTGGAAGAACACCTTACTGGAGCTCAAGCCTATGTTGTTTGGATCTTTGCAAATATTCTACCTTAGAGATTTGAGGGGTGTTAGTGTGATTATCATTATGTTACCATATTGGGCTCTGTGTGTAATGCTTAGTCTAGGAAAATCTGTGCCACAGTTTTTCTTAAATAGATGACAGACCTTTCTGAGCAGCAGTTGTAAATACTCTGTTTGGATAAGTTTGTGTGTGTGCATGATAGTCAAGAGAGCTAGGCTTTTACAGCAAGGCTTTCCCCCTTGTTTATTGCAGGCAAAGAGTAAATCCTTGGCAATCATAGTAGCAGTGATACTGCAGTCCATTGTACAGTCATTATTCTGCCTTACATACAGGTCTCTAAATGTAGGTCACTAATTTAAAAAGTTTCAGTTTTTCATGGGAAGTGTGTGCTTCAACTAACCAGAAATAAGAAGTGAACCAGCGCAAGAATTTAATCTTTATTCAATTTCCAACTTTGGAAATAACAGTAGCAATTCCCTTGCTGCTGTCCAAATGTTGTCCTGCATAAAGGATTGGCTATTTTTCACTTTGGAAAACACTTGAAATATCCTACTGAATATTGAACTAACTTGCTAGTTCATTTTTGTCCTCTTTAGCTTAACAGTAGAAAATGAGAGCTTTTTTATGCTGTGTACCCCAGCATCTGGTGAGGTGCTTGCCACATGCATGCTCAATATAGCTCAGAGGCTGTAGAACAGACCCAGGCAAGAGAGTTACTGAGCACTTTACAGTATTTTTGATAGTGCCTTTGTAATGCAACATTCATGTTTTTATGGTGACCTGTAATTTAGACTGCTAAAGGTACTGTTCTCAAGTAGTCTTTGAAGTTCTGCTGGCAATGCGTTGATCAACTTGTCCTACCAATTGAGGAAAAAAGAAAGGAAAAAAGAAAAAAGGCACACAGAGCTACATAAAACTGGCACTTCAAGAGCTTAATTGACTGAAAGAGAAGGCAGTTCAGCACTGGCAGATCAGATTGAATGGAAACATGTAGTTGGACTATTTTCTAAAGTTTTATTTGAAAATACCCGAGAAAAGTGGATGTGGAGAGAATAAAAACAGACCTCCAACCCTCCTCTTCTGCATAAAACTTTCCTTTTCTCTCATTTCTGAAGTATTCTGCTTTGCCAGTAGAAAGAGAAGAGAAACAGCTGTTCCAGTTTTGCTTAGGCTTGCAGTGATTGCTCTGTGTGTAGCTGCCAATTCTCATTCCTCCATGGTCAGGAAGACTCGAACAGTTTAGAGGTATAAGTGTCCCCCAGACTTCTTTGCTGCTGTATCACCTGAATTATAAACTGTTTTCTACTCTTAGTCTTGGTGTCCTAATTCTGTTTATAATCATGTTTGGAGGACATGGATTCAGTCACTACATGTTGTGCTATTGTCAAGCTATGCTCCTGCATTCCATACAAAGTGATTTAACACAACTTTGGCTGATACGGCCAGCTTGAGTAGATAAGTTAAGCATTAGGACAGAGTCACTGAGAACTGCGAAGGGAAAAAATTAGAATGAGTACAGTACTGAGATTCTTTCCAAAGCTGTATTCTGAAATAGCATTGTATTTTTAGACAATATTTCTTGCTTTAAAAGCACAATACATACTTACATTGTATGATATTTAGCTATTTGCCTCTGGCTTTTCTCCAATGTAGAAATACTTTACACCTCGTGCATAAATAAAGTATGAAACTCACTGCCACAAGGTACTTTGGAAGCGAAAAGTGTTAGCGGCTCCCAAAAGGGATTAGACAGGTTCTTGGGGAAAGTTCTTCCACACTATGGAATGTGACAGTTGGGGTGATACAGGCTGTTTTAACTGTTGACTGCTAGAAGCTGTATGGTAATGTTATGATCATTCTGGTGTTCATCCTGCATTTTATAATAACTTCCTAAATATGTCCTGCTAGCTGTTGTCGCAAGGGAAGAACTGGGCCATTAGTTTAATGCAGAATGGTATCTCCTATTCTACATCACATAAGGTTCCATATGCTGCACCTTATTGCTTGGGATACTGAAAACTTCTGAAATGTTCTACGAAACACTGCAGTTCAGTTCTTGATTGTTTTCAGTATTTGGAATACTGGAAATTTGAATAAATCAAGGTTATGCATTGGTTGGTAGGTTTTGCCCTTCAGAAGGACCTATAGCACCAAACACAAGTCTTAGGTGCAACCTAAGTTTTGGGGAAAGTAGGAAGTGGAGCTGCATATAGGTACATGTACATGATCAGTAGAGACTTGCAATATAGCAATAGGAATTTTTTATCTCAAGATGGTTAAAATTTCAGTTAATAACCATCTACTGTACATTAAATCAAAAGTTCTTTTAAGTGAGTGTATCTCTGACTTCAGTGATATTATACCTGCTTATATCCGTCAAGCTGCTGGTTAATATATTTAAGAAATTAAGTATAGTTATCTATTTGAGAAAATATATAAATAATACATATAAATATTGTTTTAGCTTATATAATCTTTATAAATACAAATATGCTTTTCTGTTACTGTCTTTGTCAGTAGATGCTGCTAGTGCTAGGTTGTACAACTAGGTCAGGTGTTTTGGGGAACTGCTCACAGGTAAAAACATTCAGTGATACATTCAGAAAAGCTTCCTGAAAATGTGGGTTGTAAGCATTGATTAAAACTTAACCTTCTCATAATTTAAAAGAGTGTTCAGATTATTGCAAATGGCAGCAATAAAGGGTCTCACTGTTGTGGCTCAGAAGGGATAATTTGCAATATATAACATGGTTGGGGTTTTGATATATATATGTGCATGTAATTTGAAACAGCAATACAATTGCAGCTTGCATTACTGATGCAAAGAACTTTGACCTTTAGCCATTTACCTGCTTGTTACAAAGATGTGAGAAGACATCAGTCCAAAACAATGCTGCCCTTTAAGGATAAGTTGATGGGTGTTTTTTTTAGTAAAATTAAATCATCTTCTCCTGTATGTATCAGGAGCTAAAGTTCATTGTATTCAAAGCAACACGTATTAATTATGTTGCTTTTGAGTGTAGAAAACCTGACCTCCGAAAACCAGACAGATACAGATTTCCTAACGGAGAGGCTTTGTTTGTCCCCATGGGTTGGAGTAGTAATTGGTGCACCTGTGGGTCATTTATAGGTGATAGATTCCTCCTCTTATTTGCATTGTATGTACTTGAACTACTTCTTTTGTAGAAATGGAACAAAACTTACTCTTGTGGAATGCAGGTTGTCCTTATATGCAGATGAACTTTGACTCTTTCTCCCTCCCCACACCTCCAATTTCACAAACCCTTAGTGCAGATTTAGGATTCCCTATATGTTACTCAGTATTTTCAGATAAACACATCTTTGTATAAAATCTGAATTCAAGACATGTGCAAATGGTTGCCTGTATTTAATGTTGGTGCTGATATATGATAATGAATCTACTCTAATCTATGCTCTGATTATGTATTTACATGGATATTTACCATTTGTTTATCTATAAGTACTGCTGTAAAGAAAACTGTTAAATAAGACAGTTCTGTCTTTTCTGTATGGAAATTGTAGAAGTAAAACTAGTAACAACTGGGAGACGCAGAGATTTTGATTTCTACAGCATTATGGTCTACCTATACCTCCCAGACAGCTGCAGATTAACATTTGCATTGCATAAACCCTCGGTTTTCAGATTTAATTTTTATTAAATCCAGTCTCTCTATGTATCTTATTAAATACATGTTTCTAGGCATATCTGTATTCATGCGTATTTCTTGAAGAAGTATTGAATATCATTCAGTCTACAAAACACTAGAACTGGTATTTGATGTCCCTGTGAAGTACTACATATTAAGCAAAAGTAATCAAGTAATTTCTCTTCCTCTACTTTCACAGTATGATGGTTGTCTAAAATGTTAGTGATTTTGTAACAAAGTTCCACCAGGAGATAGGAAAGATACTACCAATTATAGCCATGGTTGTGTTTGCAAGAAAACAGTACTGATAAGCTGCCATTGCATAGACTTGCTGGCTTCTTGCTTGCTCAAAAATTGTTCTGCTGTGGCTGTGAAAACTACATGGGTTTGTGCTGATTTTATGCATGTAGTGTCATTCTGCTTATTTCATTATTCAAAAAAATCTTCCTAGACTGACTTGGTAAAATCTTACTAGACTGCGTTAGCCATTCTTTCTATCAAAGAGAATGATTTGTTCACTTTGGCCTAGGTTTTGATGGTTGGCGTGGTGTGTGCAAATCGTACAAGAGTTTATCATAATTTGAAGCACTTCAAATACAAGTTGTATGTAGATTGCAGCTCCGTTACCGAGTTGGATGGTGTTGAGGATGAACCAGTCAAAGACACAGTTGAACGGCTTTTCAGCCAGTTGGAAGACAGTGGGTGGATTCAGAAGGTATGACTGAATCATTTGACATCTGATTTAATTGATCCGTTCTGAATTACTGGGCGTCAGTGATATAACTCAGCTTAACCATTCATCCGCTTCTGCTGACCCAGTCTCTCAAACAGTGCTACGCTGCTGCGTTCACGTAGAGTTTGTGTCAAATTTTGACATGAAGCTTTTTGACAGCTGCGTGATCTCTGGGCTGTGGTGGGCAGGCTCCTGTTTCATTTGAAAGCAGCAACACGACAAACTCAAGCTGTAACTTAGATTGGAAACATGTACGTGAGGCACAACAAGAATATTTTACTCTTCTGTTTACGCTGAAGTACTTTGACTTATTCAGAAACACTTTATGAACTATTTTAAGACAAGTTGTAGTATGGTTGCATTTAGCAAGCTTTCAGATATCATTGCTTCTGAATTGTTATTGGCATGCTTGATAATGTATTGAAGAAAAAGAAAAAACAGTCTTTATGTCATTCAGTTATTAAACATTGATAAAATAATACAGATTTTATTTTATTTGCAGAGATATAATGATCTTGAAGACTACATGAACGATGCAGACAGTTTCCAAGAAGAGAAAATGGATTAAGTGGTCATATAGCTCTTTGGAAGACATCTTGTAAAAAAATTTGAATGACCTGCTTTATCTGCATGCACTTTATCTCTGCTTGGTCTTCAAGATCCTTTTTAGGCTGTGTTATACTTAAATCCATATGCCTTTAAACTACTGTTTGAGAATGTGCTGTATCGTTTTTTTCTCATCTGTGTCAATAATAACCCAAAGTTTTACCAAATCAGTCCTTCCAGTCTTTACTGCATAGGTCACTTTAACTTTCCTTCTGTTCTTAAAAATAACATGTCAATATCTGTTTACTTGTGAAATAAAACTTCTACCTACTTATATTGAGCTACATTGTAGGGAAGGTAGGAGATGCTGAGCTTTTTTGAAGTAGGTATGTTTGGAATGGTAAGGCTATGTTACACAAGAACATACGACTTGCATCTTACCTTCTTTGTTATATGTAAGTCCAACCATTTAGAGTGATAGTTATGATAAACAGGACCCAAATGCAAAGATCTGTCTTCCCTCTGAGGAATCAGTATAGACTGTTGCAAGGCAACAGAGGAAGTATTTTGCAGTCCTGAGTACATTTGCAGCACAGTAGTCATTCCTCTCTTTAGAGAGTAGGTGATGAGTCACATTATAGGTACAGACTGAGCCTGTCTTAGCCATCTAAATGACCACTTAGGCCCACAGTGCTGTCTCTGATAAGCAGCTGGGCAATTTACTGAGATTTTAAACATCAAATTACGTTGTGCAAACATAATGGCAACAACTTGCAGTAACTAAAAAATTAAGAGAATGGATTAATGCGGCCATGCAAGATAAGCAAGAATTCTTCCAGTGTAACTTAACACGAAGTAGGAGTTAGAATGATGATGCGTGGCTTACCTGAATTGCATGAAGCCCAAATCAGAGTTCTTTAGGGCCAGGGGAGTAGATTTTTGAGGAGTTAGGAAGGGCTAAGTACTGTATTGTCCATTCTAAAAAATTGGACATGAGCCAGCAATGTGCATTTGCAGCCCAGAAGACCAACCACATCCTGGGCTGCATCAGAAGAAGCGTGGCCAGCAGGTCGAGGGAGGGGATTCTGCCCCTCTACTCTGCTCTGGTGAGACCCACCTGGAGTACTGCAACCAGCTCTGGAGCCCCGAGTACAGGCATGACATGAACCTGTTGGTGTGAGTCCAGAGGAGGGCCATGGAAATGATCAGAGGGATGGAACACCTCTCCTAAGAAGAAAGGGTTGGGGCTATTCAGCCTGGAGAAGAGACAGCTATAGGGAGGCCTTATTGCAGCCTTTCAGTACTTAAAGGGGGCTTATAAGAAAGATGAGAGACATTTTTACCAAGACCTGTAGTGACAGGACAAGGGGCAACAGTTTTAAACTGAAAGAGGGTAGACTTTGAGGGGCATAAGGATGAATCTTTTTTATGATGAGGATGGTGAGACACTGGAACAGGTTGCCCAGAGAATTGGATGCCCCATCCCTGGAAGTGTTCAAGGTCAGGTTTGATAAAGGTTTGGGGCTTTGAGAAACCTGATCTACTGGAAGATGCACCTGGCCAGGATGATCTTTAAAGGTCTTTTCCAACCCAAGCTATTCTATAATTCTGCCCCGGTACTTTGTGCTGCATATAAAATTAATTAGATATAGCCTAAGATAAGATGCGGGGTGCAGAGTTTTGAATGAGTTAGGAACTGTTCCTACACCCTGCTGTATGCATGTACTCTTTATTAGTCTTCTGTGGCTGAGCAATGCAGTAGAAAGGAAGGTATTGTTAATGCTCTAGATTCTTTTAAGAAGTTGTTCTCTTAGAAGCAAAACTAATCAAACCTAATTTCTCATGGATTTTTCCATAAGAACTCACCACATTCGTTATGCCACTCTACAGGTAACAGCTATGCTGATCGGCTCAGCAGCTGCTGCCAGGTGTATCACCTAATGGTGAACATCTGTTGGCTTTTGTCCATAGAAACTGTAGCTTCGATTTGTCATTCAGTACCCTTTTTCTAGCATTCATTGTAAAAGAAAAACTGTTTTTGTATTTTAAAGGGTTGAAATTCAGCAGTGGTTTATAAGCTATTAGAGCAAGCTAATATCATCAGCTCTCCCTTGTACTACATACAGATACAAGATTAGGCTGAGAGAGTTGGGGCTGTTCAGCCTGGAGAAGAGAAGGCTCCGGGGACATCTCATTGCGGCCTTCCAGTCCCTAAAGGGGGCCTACGGGAGAGCTGGGGAAGGACTTTTTACTAGGGCATGTAGTGACAGGACAAAGGGGAATAGCTATAAACTGGAAGAGGGCAGGTTTAGATTAAACATTAGGAAGAAGTTTTTCACTTTAAGGGTTGTAAGGCACTGGCACAGGTTGCCCAGAGAGGTTGTTGAGGCCCCATCCCTGGAGGTGTTCAAGGCCAGGCTGGACATGGCCTTGGGCAACCTGGTCTAGTTGGAGGTGTCCCTGCCTATGGCAGGGGGGTTGGAACTAGATGATCTTCAAGGTCCTTTCCAACCTAAACCATTCTATGATTCTATGATTCTGTGATTTACAAACCAAGATGAAAAATCCCAGTAAACAGATTGAGACTTACTCTCAAGTAAACTTGTGTTGAAGAAATTATTTCTATACCTTAACTGTGACTTAGAAGTTGAGAGATAGTAGTTGTTTTGTTTAAATAAGTAAGCTTTAATTAGAATAAATTACTTAGGGTTATATTACGGTGTGATTTATGCTGTTTGCCTAGCTTTACTTGTCATGAGTAGCTAGATTTGCTGAAGCCTTTAGGCTGCAATAGAGTTAATTTTCTTAGTAATTTTCCTAGCAGCTGGTACAGTGCTGTGTTTAGTCTTTTAGTATCAGAAAAATGTTGATAACACACTGATGTTTTGGTAGTGTTTTCCCTAAGCCTGGGACTTTTCAGCTCCCCATGTTGTGCCAGTGAGTGCACGTGCACAAGAAGCGTAAACCAGAAGATAAGGAGGCTCCAACCGTCAGCTGAGACTGCAAACCAACACGAGCAGTCAACAGCCTGCTTGCCTGGACACAGAGAGAGAATCCAAGAAGGCGTTAGGAGACCCCAGACCAAAAATTGGACTAAAAGACGCGTGAAGAGCGCATGAGGGGCAGGTGTAGAGATTGCAAGGGTGTAATTGCCCAGGGATTTCTTTGGTTTAAGTCCCTCCCTTTTGAGAGGCACCCAGCCTGGGCTCACCTTGCTGCTGTACCTTTCAATTAAATTAGTTATTTTTATAAAATCCGACGCCTGAGACTCTTTTCTGGGAAACCTCGGGTTGAGCCTGAAGACGGAGCTGCGCACTCAAGAGTGTGTGCGTGGGAAGTGGAAATGGACACCCATCAGCTCACTGGAGTCACCTGCTGTGAAGGGACCCTGGTCCAGTTACAGACTTGGGTGGTGTGTGTGCGACTCCTGGGATGGTGTGTGAACGCTCGGGCAGCAGCTTCTCCTTTAACACAGATATGTAAATTTTCTGAGATTTGCTATATGTTATACCTATCTCCCTGGTTACCAAAGCTGAAGGAACTCCGTTTTCTATTCTTTTTCCTTCTTCATGCCTTTTCTGCTGGGAATATTGGTGGGAACACACCCATCAACTTAAAAGCACTCAGGAATCTGTCTTGAATATATCCCTTTTAGGAAAAGTAATGCCCCTTGATGCCCCACTTCTCTCTGTTAACCAAATCTGTACACTTTTCTTGGTTTCTCTAGAATAATAACATTTATGTTTGGTGTAACTTTATTCTTTTTGCCACATTTATACTGTTTGCTACCAAATTAAAAAATAAGTTTGGGAAATTTTGGCTTGTTGATTACTGATAATATTTCAAGAATACATACATTTTGACTGAAAATGAAAACAGGCAAATTGTTCCAGTGATTAATTTCACTTGTATTCTGTTATTTACCACATCCCAGATCATATTTCTCACCACCTCTTCGTTCACCTAAAAAGTGTGAGCGATCTACTTCTTTCTTGTTCCTGCAGGCATTTTTTCGCCGATCTTATGTTTTTCTGTTTCTAACAGGGATACTAAGGTATTCTGGAAGAAAGTGGCTCCATAGATCTACTAATCTTGCCTGTGACATCACCCATTGGACTAAGAAAATGCTTAAAATTGACATAGCTTATTTCTATTCCAGCAGGAAACTATTTGATCTGGTTTGGCAGGGGCTGACATAATGTTTGTGTGCATATAGTCTCTCTTAAACTTTGATATTCCCCTCACTGAGATGGGAGGAAGTGATAATAATTTTGTGGCTGTTGTTTTACCTGAAGAGTTTCTGCAAGACAGAGAATGTGGAGTATCATTACATCATGTTTACATTTGTCTTCACCACAGGAAATGAAAAGATTGTTTAGAAGAGCCGTATATGTAAAAATTCAGATCAAATTTTCCAGGACAGGCTGTAAATGCTACTACTTGCACAGCATGAAATACAAAGAGGACTCTTCCCTGCTGGGACTTTCTATATATAGAAATACTCAGTAAGAATATTGCTAACAGAAAAATTTGGTGCAAATACCTAATGATTGGAGAAGTCAAAAATCTGACCAGTCTTTCATACCTCCTTTTCCACATTAGAGAATTTGAGTGGAGTTAGCGGGTGGGAGGATGTAATCTTGGTTCTGATAGGAACATTTTAAATTGTCTTCAGTGTTAATTTTTTAAGTACTATCTCTAATTAAGATAAAGTACCTGTCTTAATAGAACAATAAAGGGAGCTCAGTATGTGATTAGAGTTGGAGCAGGTGATTAATGACCATACTTGGAAATTACTTTAGTTCTACAGGATGTTTCGATAACCTGCTCTAGTTTAAGTTCTGTAACTGGAGACTATGAGAACGATAAAGTTCACGCAAGGTGTTAATGCACAGGATCAGCCTTACTAATGTGATGTATTTCAGGGAAAGAAGGCCCTTTTCAGTCTATATTCTACATCCGGTTCTTGCAGCGAAGTATGAAAAGAAGTGATTTTTCTCACCATGTCCCTCAGTTTTTGGAAAGAAAGTCATCTGTGGATCAAACGGGATGGTAAACTGCTAATAGTAGATAGCTGTTACTATCATATTTTTTTTCAGCAGCGAAGGCTTCTGTTTCCAAAAGGCAGCTATTTCTAGCAGTTCGGCAGGCAATTACAGGCAA